GTAGTAGTAGTAGTAGAAGTAGAAGTAGAAGTATAAGTAGTAGTAGTAGTAGTAGTAGTAGTAGTAGTAGTAGTAGTAGTAGTCGTCGTAGTAGTAGCAGTAGTAGTAGCAGTAGTAGTATAGTATTCAAGACGAGGGCCGACGCGAAGCTGAAAAAACGCAAAAGCGACAAGATTCATGCTCGGCTCCCTGTATGACTCAATGGCCTGCCAGCAAGAAAGCTGCCACGAGCCCCGAGCTCCTGATTTGGGGGATCTTTGCGCTCAGGGGGAGGGCGCAGGGTGCAGGCCCCAATACTTAATACTGTAACAGTGTAACAATAGCCGTGACACAAGGAATGATACGGTGAGTAAGAACAGCAAAAAACGGTCGTTTGTGATTGTAACAATGGGAATGATATTGCTAGCCATAATAGCAACACTTGCAATTTCACTTTGTACTCCTGCATGCAACATGCAGCGATGGTTTACAGTGAGTTGCCAAGCCTTATGCTGCCTTGACGCCGTGTAACTTTATACAAGTGATGCACTTTCGCCATAACTGCGATGCGCCTTCCTTCCACTGTTGACTGTAGACCATTCTTGCAGGTCAGGAGTCTCTGTCGTTTGATCGAGGTGAAGATTGAATTTGTCAACAACCCTTTGCAAGTCGACTGCCGTTCTTGAGGTTGAAACCCTCTTTCGGTGTCTTTCCTGGTCTTTCCCGCATATTCCGCCAACCGCCCCGTCCCCCCCACAAAGCGATGGGGCACCCCGTCAAGCAAAGCAAGCCGCGGAACTCCTCCCTCTGCCTTGCAATACCCATAGATCGGGGTTCAAGTTCATGCTGAGCCAATGTGAAGCATACCAGAATATACTAATGTCCCATAATGTACTGAAGCTGTGCAGGGCACAGCTTGGCTCAACATGCCCTGTCGACTTAGCGCTCGAGGCAGCAACTCGCCTAAAGTTTGCAAGCTGGTGGAACTAAAAGGCGTGCTGTTGTTATTGGTGCTGGATTTCCCTTTCTATCTTGAGGGTCTCAGGATAAGGATGGTCCAGCTGCCTCTTGTATCCCCAAATCCTGAACCCTAGAGAAGGTCGATCGCTAATCCCCCTAAAAAAGTTCATCATCGCATCCTAAATCCTAGAAAAGGATTTCGAGATGGTAGTTCTAGGTTCCTGAAAGGAGAGTGCTCATAACGTGATGTCAAATCGCAACTCAAGGTTTAGGGCAACCAGCAAGAGCCCAATGCCCCTTAATTAAGGGATATACCTCAAATTACAAGGGGCTTCATACTATGGCTTAACGTATATTCCTTAATTAAGGGGTAATTGGGCTCTCTGGGTTTAGGGTTGTTTACATCAGCGTTTAGGGTTCCGCTTCAAAGAAACCTGTCCTTGCCAGAGTGCGGGCCATGCTGTCTTCAGCAGTGCAAGAAGCCAAGGGCTCTCACTACAAGTGCTTGGGCCACAAACTTCCCGGAGTTTCGTGCATACCATACTTTGGGATTAGTTCAGAGCGGTCTTGCGCGCCTACTGTGAAGCGTTACCCGTCCTCATGTCTGGCAAGTCTGTGCCCATGCCCAACGCTGCCAAGACAGCAAACTTGGCACCTTAGTCACCTAAGATCTGGTCCGAATCCGAGAGCCGGAAACGGTGTTGAGAGCCCGGCCAAGCTGGACGCCTCCAAGTGAGGGATACGGACTTAGGGTGATTTCGGCAGTATGTGGGTTACATGCGAAGCTTGCTGGAATGGGGCGGAAGCACCTTGTTTGAGGAGTTAGTTCAGAACTAGAGTTTAGAAGCCAATATGTTTCGAGAACCCCAGACTCGAAATTGTATGTGCGTCTAAATGCGAAACTAGCTAATGGGTTAAACAGACAATAACATAAATCATATGTACATATATATATATATGTATGTGTGTGTGCACGCAAAATTGAACTTAATGTGTATGTATGTATATATATATATATATATGTATATATATATATATATATTTGTGAGCTCATATATGTTTGTGGGTCCGCGTCGCCCCTTCCCCGCCCCTGCAAGCCTGAAGCCTCAACCCGGCTCCGAGGCTCTGCAGCCTAAACCCTTAACCGTTCTGCAGAACGGAGTGGGGATGGCCATGTATCGCAACCTTTGAGGGGGAAGGGGGCAAAAGAGGGGCGCGACCATTCACACGTGTGTCTGCGTGGCACGCGGGTGTGTGTGTGTGTGTGTGTATGTGGGTGGCAGTCGAAGGTGCTTCGACTTCGCGGATGCACTCGAAATCTTGGGCTATGGGATCGACGTTTTCAAGCAGAGTCTAGGGGCCGGCAGGGCGAAGTTCACTTCAAAATGTGGCAATACCTGAAGATGACTAGCTGCCCTCAATCGGGCCCAGCTACAGCAGGACCAGGAAGGTTGGGAAATTTGCCACTTGAACCGAAAAAGTATTGAAGAGCAATGCGTACTTCTTACCCATGAAGTACCAGTGTCTCTCTTTCTCCCCATCTCTCTGTCCCCGGGCCTCCGCCACATTTCGCACGCATTGCTGAATTTGGCACACTTCGCCTCAGTTTTGGTTCGACTCCCCGACTGTGGTCCGGGTGAGGTTGCGGACGTTCCGGTCTCTTCTTTGAGCGGGGTCTGGGAACAAGCAATTCTCCACGCTCGCTAGTGCAAGTTTCGGCTCTCACAGCTTACTAGCCGGAGCTTCGGCTCGAACAGTTGCCAAGGGCTTGCTAGGCTAGCTTTACCTGTTTGGGTGGACTCTCGCATTACGTCAAGCCTGCTTGTGATTCTTACCCTTACTTGTTTATTGATGCAGGTGGTAGTCGTCGTCGTGGTAGTCGTAGAAGCAGTTGTAGTAGTCGTAGTAGTTGTAGCACTAACTAGTAATTGCAGCGGTAGTAGTAGTAGTAGTAGTCGTCGTCGTCGTCGTCGTAGTAGCAGCAGTAGCAGTAGCAGGAGTAGTAGTAGTAGTAGTAGTAGTAGTAGCAGTTGCAGCAGCAGCGGTGGCGGTGGCAGGGTTGTGCTTCTTCTTCTTTTGATTATCAGTAT